CTCACTATAATTATAATTGTAAAATTGAGTTACACAATTTAATCACATTTCTCTCTAATTAATCAATTAATCAATTAATTATAATTTATCAATTACTAATCACAAATTTTTAAAAATTTTTCTAAATTAAATTTCTAAAAAAATTGCAAATCTGCAAAGCAGATTTCCCAGCATTTCCAATTTTTGTTTTGGTCAGCTTAAGGAAATCTGCATGGAGATTTCCAACTCTTGTTTCGGTCAGCCATGCTGACCGAAACATGCAGGCAATCTACAGAACAGATTTCGAACTCCTGTTTCGGTCAGTATGGCTGACCGAAACATCTTTGCAATTTTAGAACCATCGTCAAATCGGTTCAGATTTTTATTTTGGTCAATATTTATGACCGAAATAATAATATTTTATTTTATTTATTAATATTTAATTCTAAAAAAGTATAGATATTTTTTTTATTCGGTCAGTTTTTTTGACCGAATAAATGGTAGTCAACATTCGGTCAAGACACTTGACCAATTTGGTTTGACACCAGTTGGCGCCAAATTAATTCGGTCAAGATACTTGACCGAAATAAAATGGGACCGAATCATATGCTTTTTTTCATTATTTTTGGTCAATTTTAATTTTCAGTCATTACATTTGTCCGAATTAATTATTTTTTCGGTCAAAAAAAAATTACTTGACCAAAATATTCTGACCGAAACGGTCAAATTTCTAGTAGTGACGGTTAGGAAAACCGTTTCTTAATTTCACTGCTTTCCTTCTCCGCTAAGCAGATTCATCTATAAAAAGCTATCTCCACTTGTTTTCTTTCACTGTCTTCTTGATCTTCATTGCTGCCTCACATATTTTCTTATGCAACCGATGAGATTCACCTTCAAATGGCTTCACCAATGGTTCGGTCCTCTTTTTCGTTTCCCAACATACTTTTCAGCCATTAATTTCATGTACTACTACAATTTAGTACCGCTTATCATCTAACTTTAAATTATTTTCTGCAGATTGCATCATGTTGGTAAGATCCACTACATATTCTACTATCTGCTATTTGTCTCTCAAACCTTGTAATTGAGGAAGCCCAAGTTCTAAACCAGCTGGTATATATATTTCAATCACTATGCGTTTTATTTCTTTTTTTTTTTTTCACCTTGATTTTTTCTTCTTTCAAAAGCTTGATTTTAATATAAGCTTTTCTAACTTCATCACTAAATTATTAAGCTTAGTATATGGTATATTCTTTTATTTGAATTATACTCTTTCTCCCTCAGTCTTCTCCAAAGTAATAAGTTTTAGAGTACTTTTCTTTTCTAGTTTTTACTTTTATTGTATTTTCTTTGAAAATCTTTGAAGCAACTAAAAAGTATATATCCGAGCAATTTGTGAAGAAGCCTTTTGCTAGATTTATCCTTGTTAAAGTCATTCTTAGTCATTTGGAGAAAATTGTAATTATTGTCTTTTTTAAATTAACTATATTTTACAATTGATTTTTGTCTCTTTTTTTAAATCTACATACGACAATATATCCTTTTTTTCTCAGTTGGTAGTGTCTACTCTTACTTATTTCAAGGTCAGCTCAGTCATAACAAGCTAGCATATTTGTTTCTCAATGTATCACATAAATGGATATGTTTGATTTTATGAAGTTCTTTTATGTATTTCACATATAAATAAATTTATATATTATACCTTTGATGCATTTTTTTAATTGGTGGTATCTACTTAATTATGTTTTGATTTGATAATGAGATTCTCCATTTTTTTTTTCTCGTTGTTT